ATGAAATATTCAAAACGTTGAATCATGACACCCTACCGTGCTTCAGTTTTTCTTCGTTCCTCACTTTTATTTCATCCATCCACTGAACTGGTTTAACGAATGCTATGTCACTCAGTAGTAAAATTGCAGCTAGCATTTTTTTCAGAACTGTGAACTCCTGTTTTAAGTAAAGGATAGAAGTTTAAAGGTCAAACATAGCAATACGTTTTAAATAAAGAAAAAAAAATAGATATATAGACTCTTTAAATACTAAAATAAAGCCTGGTTTAAAGAAAACATAACTTTTTTTTAATGCTTTAAACCAATGTTAACTATTTCTTAAAAAAAAAAATAAATTAAAAAGCCAGTTTAGCTTACTGATTTTTTCATAGCTTCCTCTATATCATGATACTGTTTGAGATATTTCTCTTTGACATGCAAATTTGCGCTACTTTCATGGAGTATTCTGAAACCATAAAAATCATTAAGAAATAAAGAGTACATACCCTAATCATAAAATCAACATCTAGATGATTTTCTTTAAACAAAGTGTTTTCACCGGACCTTCATTTATAAATGTTTTACTCCGAAAAGGAACTCGATTTTTATATCTTAAGCCCAATTAAATAATGCTGAAACAGTTAACAATATACTGTTTTCAACATACAAATGAATCTTTACGTGTGGATTCAAATCAGAACAATTGTGTAGGAAATCATGTGTATTAATTGCACTTTATATTTATATTCATTAAACGTACTCCAGAATATGAGTATCTCTTACGTGTCACATTCCTCCCTTTTCAAGTAAAGATCCCTCTTTTCCTCATCAGATAGGCTCTCAAATAAAGCGTGGAAAATGTGGAAATTTCCCTCTTTGAAAGTTTCTGACCTGGCAACAACTCGATTTCTGTCAAGCAGGATATGTCTTACATTGGCTAAATAAATAGAAATGAAACTTTTAAAACATTTTTATAGATTACTATTTATATGACATTCTCAAAACATAAAATATTAAATCATTTAACATTAATTATTTTTAAAAATCAATAATTGATTTGTGCGATTTTGTGATTAAAAGAAAATTACATGTTACGCAAGTGTGAAAAACAATCAAGAATTGCTGATGTATGAATTATCGTTTATAGAAATTGCATGTGGACAGCTTCCACGCGCGCTTTAATTACGCATATTATGACCATCAAGCGAAAACCACCCTTATGTGCATTATGGCGTTATCGAGAAAACGAGCGCTAAAGTTGACGTCATAAATGTTTGCCGAATTTTACAAATAAATGCAGTGTTAAACGCATCATTAATTATAATATTTCTTCATACAGTAAATGCATATACTAAACAACATAATGAGTAGTCGTAAGTATAATTATAAAAGTCCACTGTTTAGTACAGCAAACTGAAAGTGAAAGTCCTTTGAAGTAGCGAATACCACGATCTTCGCCTTTATTTTAATTTTCGAGGAAAATTTTCTTTTTACTTCTAAAACACAAATATGGGGGAGAAATCGTATATTATCTTTAGACTAGGGCAGCAACAAAATGGACATAGATCTACTCTTATTCAACATCATTTTTGTCACTATTTATTGATATTTTTCTATATTTATGATAAAAATCATAGAAAACCTAATTTAAGTGTAAAGTCGAGGCGTTGGATTTCATACAAAAGTGTGTAAGTTTATCGGAAACTAAACAGCGTTATGTACCAAAAATCAAAAACAAGCTTGAAGAAATGGGGAGGCGGGTCACAGAAATATAATTTATCAGTATATAATTGAAGTTGGATAACAAAGCCCTCAGTACAATTTGGCCGGAAAAATATACTTGACTATGACACATGAAAAAGTTCGTTTTGTTTTCTTTCTTATTCCTTGTCAAGACCTCCCCCCCCCTAAAAAAAGAAATAAAAAATAAATCGCTTCCTATGTGTCTGAAATAATCTACATGTACAAATACCGCAAACGAAGGGAAGTAACCTGCATTTTACTTATTTATTGTTACCTGGCAACATGAAGCGTTCAGTATTCACCACTTCCTTCAAAGATTTCACGGTATCTGTGTATATCTTATTTGCATGTTTTTCGGTATCTGTGTATATTGCATGTTTTTGCTATTTAGAGGGGAAAGTAGGAACCGTTAATTATTCATTCTATAAAATATTTGCTAAAATGAGTTAAAAAACAAATTTATATATAATTTTTTTTGATATGTTGGAATAATAATGCAACATTATGAATCCCTCGATCAGTTAATCAAAGACGAATACAACCTACTTGTTTTAGGAAAAGATAAGAAATTATCATGAAAATGATATCATTTAATCTTTAAATTATGTTGTATCCTAGTACTACATGGTTTGGGGAGGGTATAAGCAACTTATATTTTGATTAGGTTATAGAAATTAAATTAATTAAATTGATTCAAATAAAACTTTAAACTGATGAAATATTTAGCATAATACTCGTAACTCTATAATTAAGGTATAATTTTAATGTGTCATTTAATCAACCAATCAAACCACAATTACACAACTGTACAGTGACCTAGAATCGTTTTTTAAAAGGGAGCAGTCAGAGAAAAAAAATAACTTACCTGAAAAAAAAAGTTTACAAGCAAAATGACTCGAAAATCCTATTCGTGGGGGGAGGGGATAAGCCAGCAGGAAGTAGACATGCAGTGGGATTAACACCATATTCAATGCTGTTTTTACAACCCATTGCACCCCTCTCAACAGAATTACGACAGGTGCATTATGCACGCGACTATTCTTATGAGCTTTCGATTCTGCTCCACGTGCATGTACATGTATAACAAGTTGACCTGCAAAATTTTCGGAGTACATATTTGGCCATGTATAGTATACTTAGTACATGTACATATTATTAGTATAATGCTCTCTCGTCTCTCTCTCTCTCTCTCTCTCTCTCTCTCTCTCAAAAGGAAATGTTACAATGATTTTTGCATGAATTGTCTCATGTCACTCTCGATCCGCATTTATGTCCAGAAATTATGTGCGAAGATCGTATGTTTTGGTCATTGTTTTCAAAGGTGTATTTTAGGGAAACTTTTAGATTCTATATTCGAAATCAGGTGTTATTGAAAAGTGTCCATGGGACAATGATTCATGTATCATTTCTTTTCAATATAAAAACAAATGTCACGCCAGATGCACGAAACGCGTGCGCAAAAGAGAGAGCAGCCATTACCCCTCCCTCTAAATTTTACGTTTTAAAAACTTTATCCTGTGCGGAATTTTCACCCTGATAAATATTTTTCTTTTATTAAAAAAAAATATGGACCCTAGCCACACTGCAAATTACGAATTCATTCCTAGTAATGCATTTTTATATGCATAGCTTGTAGGTAAAGTTTTAATTGTCTTGATTTTAGAAAAAATTGTCGTCTACAATCAAGCATGAAAAACATATTGTCAATTATTTTCAAATAATTAATTCTTTACCTAAAAGAGGTATTGATTCATCAAGGAGACTTGCTATCAGTCAAAAAATTTTACTTCCTATGCAGGCCCTGTACATTGATAAAAGGTGGTAGATGTTGGATTTCCTTTAATAAGTAAAATAGATACAGACGGAGAGAAGTTTTTTGATTTATATTTGCATATCCACTGCTCTCTCCCACTATGAACATGTGGTCATCAACTGCGTTCATAGGACTATAGATGCAACTGCTTCTGCTATGAGAGCAATTGCTCTATCAATTTCCTGTAGAACAATCTCCACTACAATTACTTTTCGTGTCGAGAAGTATATATATGAAACTTTTTGTAAAAGGAATAAAAATATGTTTTTAATAATATTCTTTGAGAAAAAAGAAATACAGAATAATTAAAATTGCTGATTTATTTCTTTAAAAATTTAATTTTGGTCAATGTATTTAATTGTATAATAAAACTTTTTAAAAATTGTAGAAAACCGCCATATTTTTATTATTTGTATCATGCATATTTGTTCAAAGAACGATAACTCTTCACACTTGGGTAATAACATTCAGAAAATTAGTATAACTAGTATATCGTCTTCAAAATTAATTTCAGCTATTAAAAATAAATAGAAGAACTAAAAAAAAAATTAGAAAAGCATTCTGGAGTAATAATCATTATAAAAGCATTATCATTTTTCATCATAGTGTTTTTAGCCGGGCTTATAGCCGGCTTATGTGATCCTGTTCAATGCAGGATGTTGACCCCATAGTCGCCATTTTAAAGTTAAATGCAAAAATATAGTTCTATACTCTCAACCGCTTTTGAGATAATACAAACGCTAAATAAAGCAACAAAAATAAAACGAAGTTTTATATATGTAAATAAACATTAGTAGTAATCACTTTGAAAACTTCAGTCCGAAGTCAAAGAACATAGCTCATTAGCGTAAGGATTTTTGATAATCAGTGTTATCGTAGTTCTCTACGCATACGAGGTAAAGCAGGAGAGGGAACCAGACTGGCCTGTTTGTTTACATTCAGCTGCGGTACCAGATTAATTCTGATTCTGACAAAATCGGACCGTGATATTAGGATTGAAAAACTCACTGTCAGTGTCCTATCATTTATATTGATAGCTTTAAAATAATTTTTTCATCAGAATATAAACGTGATTCGTGTAAGAAATTCATTCTACTCTGTAAATGAGCCCGGCTCTCTGTACTTCTGAGTGCTTTGATTTGTTAGAGGGTTTCAATAACGTTGATCGATGACGTCACAACTGCATCAAAACAAAAATTAAGAGGATGTGTTGACGGCGCTGCTTGTATCCAGATTCCAGATAACTGTGTTTGAGAGGGAAATACTTTATAATTGTTTGTGATTTATTAGATAAAAGTATCATTGTTCAGGTGTACTGATTTTAAAGCCGTATGTTTTTCATTACTTAAGACAAGAAGCCGCGTCCTTATGTAAGTCAGGATTTCCTCTGATATTTTTGAATAAATCAAAGATTGCAAATATAAGTAATAAACAACGATTATTCAGTGAACATGGCATTATGAATAGCAATAGCTCTGCTGGCATATTTTCCATGATGCGCTAGCGCAACTTGTTTTCCACCACGAGGCGCGACAAATGCGCATTTTCAGAACATAAGAAAGGGGGGGGGGTGTCCTTCCAATAACTGAAAGTTCAGTGCCAAATTTAAAGTTTCAGTGGGTATAAATTATATTGCAGCAATGTGTATTATATGCATCTTTAATGCAGTGTCAGAGATAACAATTACTTTGATAAAGCTCTTCAGGCCATTTGAGTGAGATTAATAGAAAGACACAATTCATCGAATCTGTTCCTCAAACTGCTCCAAAAAAGAATAAATTCATTTGGAAAAAAACCCACAAGGACAAAAAGTATTTTCGACGAACGCCTTGATTTAATTTATGTGTAAAATAATATACTTTCTCTCTCGTCGCGGGTTCGAATCCCACAGCGGGACGTGGAGACCGGTCCTTCGGATGAGACCGTATAAACCAAGTTTCCGTGTCGCAGTAGGCGCTCGCACGAAAGAGATCCCTACCTGCTCATTGGCCCTCAGTACAGAGTATAATACAAAATTTTTCTCCACCGGAAAGCAGTGGTGTCTCCATATGAGTGAAACATAAACAGTATATATATATACAACCAATCTTCTTCTCTGGAAAATGATAGGACCGTTTGTTATCAGAATGCCCCTTATTAGCAGATATAACTTCTGTATTCCGAATTTATTCAAATTCGTATATATGAGACACAAGAAAGTATTTCTGTGGCCTTATAAATTTAGATATCCACAACGTTCATGTATTAACAATTCGCAACAGTTTCTTTGTCGACTCGACATACCATGATCATGAAATTGTTCAAATTGTTCAAGCATATGCATAAAATGACGAGATAAAAACTTCTGAAACAAAAGAAGCATTCAAAGTATCAATCTGATCTGAACTGTGTACATGTATTTCTTTCTTCTTTTTTTATTTGGGGAGGGGGGGGGGCATAAAAGTCTTTAGTAATAGTTGAATCCGAGTTTTCCGTCGAGATTTTACGAGCATAGACAATATAAACAATAAACCTCCTCCCCTAAAAAGAAAAATAAACTCACAAAAATGATTTTTAAAAAAAAAGAAACAAAACATCTGGTGTCTCTTTTTTAAGAGGGTGGGGGATAAAAACCTGATATTTCTTCTAAAATGCTATTATTATCGATCATAAAAAGAGACAATAACAATATAACTAAATAAAAATCACTTATGTAATGTCATTTGTTGTCCGAGGTGATTTTTCTTTTGCAGTTTTTACAATAAAACCATGGAAATGTGAGAACAAAAGAATTGACGTTGTCCGATAAAACACGGCGTCATAACGAAAAATTTGTATTTTTTTATTTGAAAAATTTCACTAATTTTTAGTCTTTGAACAACTACATGTTATATATCATTTGAAAGAGGAGAAAATTTTCTATCAGGATCACTAAACAACTCAAAATGTCAAAATTTTCACTTAAGGGTGGTTTTTGCTTGACGGTCATCATATACAAGAATGGCTTCTTGTACTAGTATGTGCACGGAAGAGTTGTTCATACCAAGAATATTAATTTCACTCATCATGTAACATAATAAAACTGAAGCGGACTATATTTAAAATTTAAATCTCTGATACTTTTTAAGTAGAAAAATTATATTGATTAAACAACTGTAGCATTTTTAATATTAAGCATGAAAAAGAACAAAAGAGTATAAATATTTAATCTGTATGTGTATAGATTAAAAAGGTTAAAATATCTCATATAAGAATTGATTTTAATGTTAGCTCAAAGAGAATTGTATGTGAAAAAGTAGTTTTCTATATTTGCTGATTTAAGGAAACGCCAACCATCACCGCTTACAGTGAAGGAGTACGTTGGAAAATAATTTTAAACAAGAGGCCCATGGGCCACATCGCTCACCTGAGGACTATGTCTGGTAAAAAGTAGAAATTGGTTTATTTTTGAATAGTTTATATACAAAAGTAGTCCCATGACCAATCATGGCTTTGCTATTCTTGAGAAGAAGATTTTTGAAGAATTTTCGCATATATTTCAATGTAAAACTTTGGTTAGCCATTGTGGCCCCGCCCTACCCCCGGGGGTCATGAATCGACTCATAATTTAAACAAACTTGATTCTACACTACCTGAGGATGCTTCTATATAAATATGATCAATTATGGAATTGTTATTCTTGAGAAGAAGATTTTTAAAAAATTTCCAGATATATCTCTAAGTAAAACTTTGATTGCGCGGGTATGTTAAGGAAGCATATAAGTCATTTTTCGGGAAATTTAGACTTTTTAAGGAAAATTAAGTTTGATAATTTACCAAAAGCGCTGATAAACGTAAACTATTATTATCTGATGCATAAAGATAAAAGAGTGTCTAAAGCAATGACGTGCACCACCACAAGGCATCACGTGACTTCTATTAATAGCGAAATTTTCCTTAATAAAAAAGCTAACAGAACAACAATACCCCGGAGTTTGATAATTTCTGTGAGTAAATAATGTTGTTGAAAAACATCTATTTTGCCTTAAAAGTGCTGCTAGAATCCAACTGTCCCATTAGTAAAAAAAAATATTCTACACATTCGCAGGAAACCATACCCGATGTTTTGAATTTTTTACATATGAACCCTGATTTTTCATTAAAACCATGCTTAACTCAGGATTCTAGCAGCACTTTCCAACTATTTAAGGGGACAAACTTTCCATACGTAGAAATTTTATATTTTGAACTATTTAGCTTATTGTTGTTCTGATGCATTTATTTTGTAACAAATGACAGAGGACAGGCCGACTGGGAAACGTATACAGCTGACTGTCTTCGAAATAGAATAAAATCGATGAAAATAAATTAGCATACCTGTTTTATTAACTGAACTCCATATGAATATCACAAGATATTAACAATATTTGCTGTTAAACTCCATTTTACGTGTCTTTGTACATGCCGTATTAGCCAAATTCTCTTTACACGGCATGATCAATTCCCAAGTTACTTGATATACACATATGACGTCATCGGTGGTAGATTTTAATTAAAATGACAGAATACAGCATTACAAAATAAGAGCATTGTATTTTTGTTAATGTTTACACGTTTCTATTCATTTTCTAGAGTTAAATTACAGCTCTAAATACCAATATAACGAAAACTTGTGTTTTAAAATTGACGTCATCTCGCCTACTATGACGTCATAATGTAGCACTGACTTAGTCAAGGTAGAATATTTTGTATGCTTCCTTATCCCCCCTGCGTGGCCATTTTGGCCCCGCCCTACCCCTAGGGGTCATGATTTGAACAAACGTAAATCTACACTACCTGAGGATGCTTCCATATAAATATGATCAGTTATGGCATTGCTATTCTTGAGAAGATTTTTAAAGAATTTTCCGATATATCTCTATGTAAAATTTTGATTGGCCATTTTTGCCCCGCACTACCCCCGGGGGTCATGATTTGAACAAACGTAAATCTACACTACATGAGGATGCTTCCATGGTGTCTTCTAGCTATTCCCACTTTTTAAAAATCTCAATTCCACCTAATCCCACCTGCAAATAACAATAGATGTTTAGATTTACCTGTAGTTTGTACATTTAAAGACAGAAAATAATGAATACATCTATGAGAAAACATGCTTTATTTCAGATTTTTGAAATAATAAAAAGATCTTACAAGAAATAGCAACTTAATACCTAAATTTAAGGACATAGTTTATTATTTGTTTACACAAAATTCCACCTACTCCCACATGAAATTTCTCCTTTTTCTACCTGATTTTCAGAAAGTGGGAATAGCTTGCATAAACCGCTTCCATATAAATATGATCAATTATGGCTTTCTTATTCTTGAGAAGAAGATTTTTAAGGAATTTTCCTATCTATTTCTATTTAAAACTTTGGTCGGCCATTTTGGCCCCGCATTATCCCCGGGGATCATGATTTGAACAAACTTGAATTTACATTACATGAGGATGCTTCCAAATAAATATGATCAATTATGGATTTGTTATTCTTGAGAAGAAGATTTTTAAAGAATTTTCCTATATATTTCTATGTAAAACTTTGTTTTTCCATTGTGGCCCCGCCCTTCCCCCGGGGATCATGATTTTAATAAACTTGAATCTACACTACCTGAGGATGCTTCCATATAAAAAAGATTAATTATGGTTTTGTTTTTCTTGTGAAAAAAAATTAAAAAAAAATTCTTATATATTTCAATGTAAAACTTTGGTCGGCCATTGTGGCCCCTCCTTACCCCCCGGGGGTCATGATTTGAACAAACTTGAATCTATACTACCTGAAGATGCTTCCAAAAAAATATGTTCAATTATGGGATTGCTATTCTTGAGAAGAAGATTTTTAAAGAATTTTCCTATATATTTCTATGTAAAACTTTGGTCGGCCATTTTGGCCCCGCCCTACCCCCGGGGGTCATGGTTTAAACAAACTTGAATCTACACTACCTGAGGATGCTTTCATATAAATATGATCAATTACGGCTTTGCTATTCTTGAGAAGAAGATTTGTAAAGAATTTTCCTATATATATATTTCTATGTAAAATTTTGGTCGGCCATTTTGGCCCCGCCCTCCCCCGGGGGTCATGGTTTGTACAAACTTGAATCTACAGTACCTGAGGATGTTTCCCCATAAGTTTCATCTTTCCTGGCACAGATGTTCTTGACAAGAAGATTTTTAAATGATACCACCAAAATTCCCAATTATCTCCCCTGGAATGAGGGCTTGGCCCTTCATTTGAAAAAAATTGAATTCACTTCACCCAAGGATGCTTTGTGGCAAGTTTGGTTGAAATTGGCCCAGCGGTTCTTGAGAAGAAGTCGAAAATGTGAAAAGATTACAACAACGACAACGCTGACAACGACGACAGACAGACAACGGACAAATTGTGATCAGAAAAGCTCACTTGAGCCTTTGGCTCAGGTGAGCTAAAAAGCTTAAAACAATATATATCTTGACTCTTTTGTTAGCAACGTCCAATAAGAAGTTTCCCTTGTTTTCATCATGCCTTAGCGACAATTAAGATGCCTAAGTAATAATTGTAAATTTATTGGTAATGAAAAAATAAACCATGTTAAAAAAACAAACAAACATGACAGGGATTACAAATGAAATGAATTATGATGTATTATGAAAGAATAAGTGCATAGCTTCAGATGGTTTCAAAATCAGTATCTTTATATATAAATTTTCAAATACCTCCAATGACTTTCTCATCTCTGAAGCTTATCTGTAGAAGCTTTGCAAATCTGCTGGCATTTGCGTTTATTTTCGTCCTTGCGTTTCCAAAGCTTTCGAGCAAAACGTCAAGCTGCAAAAATTTTCTCTTTTTTTAATGATATTTATCTAAATTTGTAGACAAGAAGCATATTGGATTGATATTTCATTTTTTTTTCAAGATGCTTTCTACCCGATAAAACGACTACGCAACATACATGTAGTCAGGTAGTTCACATATCAATACTACATCATATTTCCGGGTTTTTTCCTTTACAATAATCTTTTTTTGGTTTATTTTCTTACAAAATGTGTACCTTGGTCTATATTGTTAAGACCATGCAGGCAATGCCTTTATGCTTGTATATATTACCTTAAGGATTTTGCTTTTCAGGCCACCTAGGCCTCCTTCACAAACGCATGTATGCATCAGATGTTTTACCACATATTTAGCATTTTCTGTTTTTCCCGCGCCTGATTCGCCACAAACCAGTATTGTGTGGTTTCCACCAGTCTGACACATTCGCCGAAACGCTCTGTTTGCCAGATTAAAAATGTGTGGTTGAAGTCGGGTATCAGCATGTTTCCAGTGGTATCGTTCATGGTCCTGTATTAGTTGTAAAAGAAACAATCATTTACTGAATAGAGATATTCTCTTTTGTATAAAACCCGAGGAAAGAACCTTGATTTACATTTGTAGCTCGATCATGGTTTTTCTTCCGACTTATTTAAAAAAAAAACAATTCCGGCTCTATTCATATATGAAATATAAATTGACAAAGACGTGCAAACATAACCTAAATCTTTAAAATCTAGAAAAAAAGTAAACAATACTCTTATACTATGAAGCTTAGATGTATAAATCATTCTTAGATTAAAATATCTTAATTTGTACATGAATGCATATGATTATTGTTTTTGGAATGATAAATTAATAAATAAAGAAAAAAAATATATATCATTTTGCATAAAAAAAACTGCTTATCAGAATAGGAGATATATAAATTTGACTGTTAAAAAGATAAGCTTAAAATAATTTTATTCATACATGTAATATTTGATTTTTAGATTTATTACAATAAATGTTTGGTATTATATTAAACTATGATGTTTTACGCGTTATTGTTGAAACATATAGTCTCATGGGAGGGGATATTACATAACTAGATTTTAATTCACATATCATATTATTTTTTCACTGTGTCTTGATTGACAAGGCCTTATTTTAATTGCAAAAACAGGTAACCTTGAATACTGTATGCAGGGAAATTTTCACCCCCGTTTCATTTTCACCCCTTTCGCCCTACCCTCATCAGGGCGAATTTAAAACGGTGTGAATTCAAAGAATTCAGCATAATTACTTAAACAAATCTATGACTGGGCGAACTTAGAACTGGGCGACATTGTTTGCAAGTGTGATAGGGCGAAAATACGACTGGGCAAAAATAGCCCTGTATACAGTATTATTTTACTTGTATACATACTATATGCTACAATTGAATCCAGAGGAAAAACAAGAACCCCTTTATTTCGGGGGTTTATTTATATTAAAAGGAATCAAATAATTGAATTATCAATTAAAGGTCAAATTAAAAGTGATTAATCGAAAATTAATTTAAGAAATATTTAAAATATATAGGGCCTAGATTTGTTTCCCTGTAGTCATCCTAACCGTGGGTCCGTGCTTTGACATAAAAATGATTTCTGAATATGTTTGCTTAAATGACAGAAGATGACATGTCAGTTTAAAAGGAATCAGATTTTTTACAATTTCTATTATTTTAATGTAAATTTTCGATTGTATATTGTGGCCCATCCTTAAGATTTCACATAAGCTTATTTTTCTTGTCCATTTTTTTTAAAGAAATAATAACACAGGTCTATTATTCGGTCATCTCTCAAGATATTTCAGCGAATGCGGTGTATTCAACTAACTTTATGACACATTCACCACTTGCTATTTACACTAATTCTTTAATAATACCTGACATAGAGACAATACAGAGAACAAGAATGACAAAAAGACGTCAGCGTTTGTGATAGAAAATCCCAATTTCATCAGAAAAGCCCATTTTGATCAGAAAAGCCCAAAGTCATGGAAAGTGAGCTAAAGAGTACGACATAAAAAATGCAAAGCCCTTTCTTTTTTCATGAAAAGAAACCAATGGCATTAACTTTACGGACCTTTTCGAGTAGAGGAAAAAAAACCTCGAATGTATTATGTAGACGCCATTAAACCCCCCCCCCTCATTTTCACAAACTTTGAAATGAATGTTGAAAGTATTCTTATATGTGGAGCATGGGCATTAACTTAATTTAATAAATGTAAAAGATATTACCTAAAATATACCACAGGAGAAACATCTAAATCCTTTGATCCTATATTATTTTAAGCAACAAATGTATAAGTTTTCAACATCAAGTGATTTTAGTAATTTGCGGATGTTTTTCCGACCTCTGACGGAAAGACCCGAAATGATACAATTGGAAAAGAAGCATAAAAAATATCCTATATTATTTCACATTTGATTTTTCTTGATAAATTATAAAAGATTATATGGGAAAACATTATTAAATTCAATAATTCCTTGGTCTTACCTCTTTTTCGTAAATAGCCAGTTCCCTGCAAGGATTTACTGCAAGCAGAGTTTTGCCAACGTTGGTCTTTGAAAGGCAAAGAAAAAAAAATCAGTGTCAAGATATTACGGAGTATCACAGGTGTCTATTTTATCAGTCATCTACATGTTTAAGTCTTTATTTACCTCTTTCTCTGCATTAAAAATTCAAAGCCAACCTTTTCATACATGTCTATGTTTACCTATGATGAGATTGTTTCTCAGTATTTTTATTAATATAACAAATCCCATATGTAATTCCAAAGACCCCTTTTCAGTCCGATTATCCTCCAAACACATATATTGTTCAAAATATTGCGTAAAAAACTTAGTGTGCTAAAAGGGTATCAATCGGCAACGTTTTCCTTATCTGATATTCAAGCCAGAGGTTTTATTATTTTTGTTTTATTTTTTTCATTTTTATCATTTTTTTGTTAAAACGATTTTTTTTGTTTAATAATTTAACTTTGTTTAATTTTTTTAATTTTTTTTATACATTTTAATTGATTGGCAAATAATTATGATTATATAACTTGCTAAATTGTATCGACACAAGAAATATAACATTATATTTTGCTTTAACTTGTAGCACATAAAATAAGCAATATGTCCAGAAAAAAATTATTCTTTCCTTTTTTATCGGTAGATCCTATCGTTGTCTGAAAAGCTGTTCAACACCAAAGAGGTAATATTTCACATAATGAAACCTAACCTTATACAAGACATCGACACCAAAGGTAAAGTTGAATATATACAACAATAATGGAACTTCTTGGTATGCCTCATCTATTGATGCTGTTAAAATTCTGTAAAGTTTTGTCGAGACAACAATGGACTGACAATTGTTTTTCACGCGAGGCGAACACGAAATACTTCGAAAAGAAAATGGCTTAAAAAAGCAAAAATGTTATTTAAACCCAGTGTTCTCAAATTCACATCTCTGTTAAATTCAATGGAAATATCTGATTGTGATGTTTAAAGAAGCTACGCTATGAAACTATGACTGTATTATATTTCATTTCTATTCATATGAATGAACTAAAGGAAAATTAAAATCGATATCTTAGATGTTGGACTGAAAAGCTGTACATGTATATGCGCATTTCAAATTTAAAAACCTTTCTCAAGGATAATATGTCCTATTTTTAAAGCTTTTCTTGGAAAAAAAAAATGAGCGGAAAATGCTTTTTTTTCTTTTCCCTAACAAAAAAATACTATAGTTAACTATAGTTAACTATAGTTTACTATAGTTAACTATAGTGATAACTTTGACACTTTGAAAACTTTGATTTACTATAGTGATAACTTTGACACTTTGAAAAACTTTGACGAAAACTTTGACACTTTGAAAAACTTTGGCGAAAACTTTGACACTTTGAAAAACTTTGACGAAAACTTTGACACTTTGAAAAACTTTGGCGAAAACTTTGACACTTTGAAAAACTTTGACGAAAACTTTGACACTTTGGAAAACTTTGACGAAAACTTTGACACTTTGAAAAACTTTGACGAAAACTTTGACACTTTGGAAAACTTTGGCGAAAACTTTGACACTTTGAAAAACTTTGGCGAAAACTTTGACACTTTGAAAAACTTTGGCGAAAACTTTGACACTTTGAAAAACTTTGACGAAAACTTTGACACTTTGAAAAACTTTGACGAAAACTTTGACACTTTGAAAAACTTTATCGAAATTTTGGATACTTCCTAAAACTTAATTGAAAACTTGGATACTTCGAAAAACTTTATAGAAAACTTGGATTCTTTAAAACTTTGAAAAAGTTCATTGAGAACTTTAACGCTTTAAAAAACTTTATAAAAAACTTTTATTCTTCTAGAAACTTTATCGAAAACTTTGACACTTTGAAAAACATAATCGAAGTCTCTGATAATTGTAAAACTTAATAGAAAACTTGGATACTTTGAAAAACTTAATCAAAAAATATAACACTTTGAAAAACTTTGTCGAAAACTTGGATACTTTAACACTTCGAAAAACTTTATCCAAAACTTTGACTATTTTAAAAACTTTGGCGAAAACTTTGACACTTTGAAAAACTTTGGTGAAAACTTTGACACTTTGAAAAACTTTGACAAAAACTTTGACACTTTGAAAAACTTTGGCGAAAACTTTGACACTTTGAAAAACTTGTCGAAAACTTTGACACTTTGAAAAACTTTGGCGAAAACTTTAACACTTTGAAAAACTTTGGCGAAAACTTTGATACTTTGAAAAACTTTGACGAAAACTTTGACACTTTGAAAACCTTTGGCGAAAACTTTAACACTTTGAAAAACTTTGACGAAAACTTTGACACTTTGAAAAACTTTGGTGAAAACTTTGACACTTTGAAAAACTTTGACGAAAACTTTGACACTTTGAAAAACTTTGGCGAAAACTTTGACACTTTGAAAAACTTTGGCGAAAACTTTGACACTTTGAAAAACTTTGACGAAAACTTTGACACTTTGAAAAACTTTGGCAAAAACTTTGACACTTTGAAAAACTTTGGCGAAAACTTTGACACTTTGAAAAACTTTGACGAAAACTTTGACACTTTGATTTACTATAGTTAACTATAGTAAACTATAGTTAACTATAGTTAACTATAGTTAACTATAGTATTTTTTTGTTAGGGTTCTTCTAAATCCAAAAAAAAAAAAATAATAATAATAGAGATCTTCAAGATTAAAGCTTATTTTAACCTATGTTATAAGATATAACATATCTCGGGGTAGATTTTGTGTTATAGATCACAAATAAAATAATACAATTTTTTTCCAATAAATAGCTTCAAATTCGGCACATTTCAAAAGTAGCATCAAATGGAGTCTTACTTTTTTACGTAACTAAATTATACGTAGGCATATCATGTTATACAATCAAATGACGTGTTACAATAAAATCAATTTATTATCCTGTAGAAATTTCTAAAAGATATTTTTTTCACCTGTAGTTTTCATACGTGCTTTTGACAATAAAACTAGCAAT